AGTGGCTCACACCTGTAATCCCAGCACTTTGGGAGGCCAAGGCAGGTGAATCACCTGAGGTCGGGAGTTCGAGACCAGCCTGACCAACATGAAGAAACACCATTTCTACTAAAAATACAAAAATTAGCCAGGCGTGGTGGTATATACTGTAATCCCAACTACTCGGGAGGCTGAGGCAGAGGAATTGCTTGAACAGGGTAGGTGGAGGTTGCGGTGAGCCAAGATCATGCCATTGCACTCCAGCCTGGGCAACAGGAGCGAAACTCCATCTCAAAAAACAAAAAACAACAACAAAAAATTCCTTCTCTCATCCCTGTCTGCCTTCCATCTGGCTCCCTCAAGAGGTAAACAGTGTGACCAGCAACTAGTGTATCCTTTTAGAGACTGCACATACAAGCAAATGTTGCTTTTTTCCTATTATCACTTTTACAACCAAAATACAATAAAACTAACTTCGTTTTGAAGAAAAGGCTGTAGAAGACTCTCTGATGATATAAAATGACGATAAGTGAAAAACAGGCTAGAAAACTATATACAGTGTAACATTTTGTATGAAATTATTATATATATAATTTAAAAATATATAAAGAATAGGTTTAAAATAAAAAGAGAGAGAAAAGCTGTAATCCAAATGTGTGGGCAATTATCTATGTGTCTAGGGTTTTGGGTGAGTTTATTCTCTCTCTCTCTCTCTCTTTTTTTTTTTTTTTCCAAGAGTGTGACCCTGTTCTTAGGCTGGAGTGCAGTGGCACGATCTCAGCTCACTGCAACCTCTGCCTCCCAGGTGCAGGCAGTTCTCCCACCTCAGCCTCCCAGGTAGCTGGGATTACAGGTGTGTGTCACCATGCCTGGCCAAATTTTGCGTTTCTAACCATATCTAAGTGTTGCCTGTGTTGCTGGAACTGTCCTAAATGCTAGACAAGCCTCAGGCAAGGTTCTGAGTGATGAAGACATGGTGGCCTCCTAGGGAGTGTTGCCCTCTGCCCTTGACTGGTGCTCGCTAAACACTAACCATCTTGGATTCTAAACTTGCTGCAGTCATCACCTTTTCTCCATCCCACCACCTCTTCCTTCCCAGATGGGTTAAAACCACCCCACGCCTCTGCTCCAGACTTTGGCTGGGCTCCACAGAGTCTCATGACTCTTCACTCACCCGGGTCTAAGGTACTGCTTAGGTGAGGTGCTTTTCTGGCTGGCTGACCTTGCCCCTACAAGCTTGAACTTAATAAATTAGTTTAACTTTCAAATTCCTGAGATGCCTCACTATCTCTCCTGGGTATCTACCTGGAAAAGTTTTCCCCTGCTGGGAAAGCACTCCTTAGCCTGACCACCCACAGACATTATGATAATGCATTGACTCACTAGACAATTAGTGACCCTGAAAAAGGCCATGACTTGTTTTACTTTTATTTCAATGCTTACAATGTCATGACTGACTTCTTACCTGCCCTACCTGCTTATCTTTTTAAGTTCTGGATATCCTGGTTGCAGAAAACTCAGACTTTACTTACTTTCTAAGTGAACTTTCTCACTGCAAAGGTAATACATATTTGTTTGAGAACTTAGAAAATACAAGCAAGAAGAAAGTGAAAACGTGAGTGGCTATCACCCAGAGATAAACATTGTAACATTTTGCCTCAAGGCCTTGCAGTCTTTATACATAAATTATGCTTTATAAAATCTGGCTTATGCTACATATTCTCTTTCCTTTTCCCTTCTCTTCCCTCTCCTTCCCCTTTCCCTCCCTCCCTCCCTTCCTTCCTTTTCTCTCTCCTTTTCTTCTTTTCTTTCTTTTATAGGGTCTTGCTTTGTTGCCTAGGCTACAATGTAGTGGTGCGATCTGGGCTCACTGTAGCCTTGACCTCCTGGGCGCAAGTAATCCTCCCACCTCAGCCTCCTAAGATAACAGGCATGTGCCACCATGCCCAGCTAATTTTTTTTTTTTTTTTAAGCAGTGGTGTGGCTGGTCTTGAACTCCTAGGCTCAAGCAAGCCTCTCACCTTGGCCTCCCAACGTACTGGGATTATGGGTGTGAGCCACGCCTACAGGCACCATTTTTAAACTCCTTTTCCCTTCATTTACAGTATACTGTGACCATTTTTACAAGTCAATGAAAATCTTTCTACATCATCATTTTAAATGATTACATAGTTTTCCACTTAATTGATGGGGTTTTGGAGTGTTTTCAATCATTTGTGATTAAAATGAAACTACAGTGAATAGCCTCACTCAACCAAAATATATCTTTTTATTGCTTCTGGGGAATTATATTATTAGGTCAAAGTAAATGAACTTTTTTATGTTTTCTCATGTTGCCAAGCCAGAAAGCATGACTTCCAAACGCTCAAATACCAAACCAGGTTCTTTGGACTAAATCAGTGTCTCAAAACCCCACTAACCTCAGTTAACCAGTAGTGACACCAAAAAGCAGGGAATTCAAGAGCTGAGAGGAACTTTGAGGTCATCAGCGATCATATGCCTCTTGTCTCTAGCTCAGAAGTAAGTAAAACGTCTATTACTTAGACATTTTCTTTAGAGATCTAAAACTTCCCAAAGTCCACAGTTTTATTTTCACACCATTCTAGACTAACTTAAAATCAGCAATCATTTTTGCATTTATTCTTCCATTCAATATTTATATATTTAAAATGAGGGGATTAGATCAATAGGGGATTGGTGAAGTGATTTATGGTATAGCCATTTGGTGAAATCGGATACAACCATTCAAAAATCGAAGAAGGTCTTGTTTTTTTTTTTTTTTTTCCTTTTTGACAGAGTCTCACTCTATTGCCCACGCTGAAGTGCAATGCAGTGACACAGTCTCAGCTTACTGCAACCTCCACCTCCTGGGTTCAAGCAATTCTCCTGCCTCAGCATCCCGAGTAGCTGGGACTATAGGTATGTGCCATGACACTGGCTGTTTTTTTTTTTTTTTTTTTAGAGACAGGGTTTCACCATGTTGGCTAAGCTGGTCAAAAACTCCTGACCTCAGATGATCCACCCACCTCGGCCTCCCAAAGTGCAGGAATTATGGGCGTGACCCACTGTGCCCAGACTTTTTTTTTTTTTTTTTTTTGAGAAGGAATCTCACGCTGTCACCGGGGCTGGAGTGCAATGGTGTGATCTCGGCTCACTGCAATCTCCACCTCCTGGTTTCAAGCGATTAGTTAAATCCATGCCCAGTTAAATTTTGTATTTTTAGTGGAGACGGAGTTTCACCATGTTGGCCAGGCTGGTCTCCAACTTCTGACCTCAGGTGATCCACCAACTTCAGCCTCCCAAAGTGCTCAGATTACAGGTGCGAGCCACCATGCCCGGCCAAAAACCGAAGAAGGTCTTTATGTACTAATACAGAATTATATCTCAAACACATCATCAAATGAAAAAAAGAAAAATGCAGAAAAGTGTATATAACACACACATTTGTGTAAAAAGGAGGAAAAGGAATACATAGATGTTTTGCCATGGAAATGCTGTTTGTGTATGCATAAAACATCTCTGGAAAGATAACAAACTGATGGTATAATACTCAGATTTCCAGGGAAACCAGGTGGCTGGGAAGATAAAGTTTTCACTATGAAATAAAACCATTCACATGCTCAACCATGTAAATATATTACCTATTTAAAAATCAAATTTGGGCGTGGTGGCTCAAGTGTAATCCTAGCACTTTCGGTAGGTGGATTGCTGAAGCCCAGGAGTTTGAGACCAGCCTAGGCCATGTGGAGAAACCCCATCTCTACAAGAAATATAAAAATTAGCCAGCCACAGTGGCATGCACCTGTAGTCTCAGGTACTCAGGAGGCGGAGGTGGGAGAATTGCTTAAGCCCAGGAGGTTGAGGCTGCAGTGAGCTGTGATCATGCCACTGCACTCCGGCCTGGATGACAGAGTGAGACTGTCTCAAAATAAATAAATACATAAAAATTAGTGTAAAAAAGACACAAAATGAGGGGACTGGGGCTTTTGATTACATCACCAAGCAGATACGTTTATTTACTTGCTTATTTCTCAAGCACTGATGAATATGTTAGTAAAGAAATAAGGGACCAGGCACGGTGGCTCACGCCTGTAATCCCAGCACTTCTGGGAGGTCAAGGTGGGCAAATCACCTAAGGTCAGGAGTTCGAGACCGTTCTGGCCAACATGGTGAAACCCCATCTCTACTAAAAATATGAGCATGGTGTTGGGTGCCTGTAGTCCCAGCTACTCCAGAGGCTGAGGCAGGAGAATCGCTGGAACTTGGGAGGCGGAGGTTGCAGTGTATCAATATCGCTCCGCTGCACTCCAGCCTTGGTAACAGAGCAAGACCATGTCAAAGAAAGAAAGAGAGAAAGAAAGAGAGGAGAGGAGAGGAGAGGGGAGGAGAAGAGAGAAAAGAAGAGGACCATAGATTCAAAAAGAATTTGAGTGGGAACAAAAGATGGGCCACGTGAACAGATTGGTCGTGCAACAATAATAGTTCTGGTTAACGTTTACTGTATTACTGTGTGCCAGGCACTGTGTTATTATATGATCCCGATATGTATCACCTTGTTAATCTGCAGATTGAGTAGGTAGGTTATTATGACCATTTTCAGGTGAGGAAACTGAGGCTGGCAGAAGTTAACTGATTTCCTCAAGTCTCCATTGCTAGTTAAGCGGAGTTTGGACTCTCAGTGAAGACTGAACTCTGACCTAGAAGTATGCCTGGCTTGAGAACCCTGGCTCTTCGGGAGGATGCTTAACTGCCTCTCTCCGACTATTTTTTTCTGCTGTATTAATGGCCACTGTTGTTAGAGCCGTTTGTATTTTGGTTGCAGGGCCTCAGCGGGGGGAAAGATCCATCTGGGCAGAAGCCAGGAGTCGAGGCGGGTCAGCCACAGAGGGCAAGTGGAACCGGAGGGGATGGCAGGGGACCAACCCATCCAGAACAGAGGCCTGCAAGGATGAGTGCACTTCGACCCCCCTCGGAGCAAAAGCCAGAGTGACTCACAGGAGGAAGACAAAGCAACCAAAGCCTCCAGGGTGTGCAGGGAGTCCAAAGTCACCAGAAGGAAGAAGAAAACCTGAAACAGCCAGAGCTGGCCAAGCCTGCTAGGACCTATGCAAATGAGACCCACCCATGCTGCCTGGAAATCAGGCCTGGGAAGTCAGAAAACAAAGCTCATGTGTGCAGGGCTGCACGGACGGGTGGAGGAGGCTGCAGCTCTGAGGGGGCAGGTAAGGAGCCAGAGAGGGTCGCAGAGGGCCAGGTCACCAGGCCCCAGAGTCCTGAGAGGCAGCAGTGTGCGGCAGGTGAACTCTGGCCTGGGATGGCAGGCTCCTGGGTTCATCTTTCAACTCAGCCACTCTAGCTGGGAAGCCTTTGGCAAGTCGCCTCAGCCTCTGAGCCTTGGCTTCCCCATCTAGAAAATGGATCTAACAATAATCATGTAGGTCTGTATTGAGCGCCTTCTGTATTCTCCTGGGCACCTTATAGACTATTCCATCCACAGAGCAACCCTGGAGGAGTGGGATTATTAGCCTTTTTTACAGAGGAAAATGAAATTCAGAGAGGTTAAGACATTTGTCGAAGACAAATGGTTCCAAATCTTGTTCCAAAGCCGGCCTGCTTTCTACTCCCCACTCAGCCTCTCTCACAGGGTGGTTTTAGAGTATCAAATGGCCTTCTGCAAACACAACAAAAAAATCCTAAAAAGCAAGTCACCTATCAAATGGATCATCACGCTTAGATTTTAGCAAGGGCTAAACTGTGAAGTGCTATGAAAATGCCAATTTTTGGCTGAAAACATTGGAGTGATGCTAGGGACAGTTGATATTTGGTGATGACTTGTTCTTAGACCAAGGAGATGACTTTGGGGCAGTGTTTAGGGTTTACTGTAGCTGAGATGTCCTGGCGTGGGGTGGGGTTGGTGCGTGGCCAGAGCCTCTCCGCAGCTGATCCCGAAACAACAGTGGACCCCCGGGGGAGCAGCACAGATAAAGGCCCGGGGAATAATGATCCTTCCTCCTCTTGGACAGCCCTTTACAGCTCTGGCTGTGGAACTTCAGACAATGTAGATCTGATGTTGGGGGAAACAGGAGATCTTTACTTGTAGTAATACAAGCTTACCGGAGTAAAGCTAGAATTTCCAGGTAAAAGAACTAAAAATAAAAAACCAACGTCTAATCTTGCCCCCAGAGATAACCACTGCTAATATTTGGTTGTTTATCTTTCCAGACATTTTTCCCATGGTGCACACGGTTTTGAAAATTGGATTACATTGTAATATGGTTTTGTTGCTGGTTCTTTTTGCTTAATGACGTTATATCCTAGGCGTATATCCATATTAATAGTTTTATCACATCATTTTAAAGGGTGCATAATGTCTCTGGCTATGGATGGAGCAGAATCTACTTAATCGATGTCCTATTACTGGACGATGAAGCCGTTCTCCATAGGTCACTGTTAAATTCCCATCCCTCGATGGGAATCTCTGTAATCACATCTTTGCAGAAGTCCTTGATGATTTCCGTGGAATCCGTTCCCAGTGAGGGAATAGATGAGTTGGGGCAATATATAGTTCAAGGCTTCCGATAAGTATTAAAGGTCTGTTTCTGCCACGATCTGGAATTCAGGGGCTCCTCAAAACTTGATGCAGAAAACTTTGTCATGGCTTTGAAGTCAACCTTGACCCTTCCTCTCTCTCAAATCTATTTACATTAATAATCCCAGCTGCCTCATATATCCATAACAATGTTTTGGTCAACCACGGACTACATATATGATGATGGCCACGTAAGATTATAATACCATATATTTACTGTGCCTTTTCTAAGTTTATGTTGAAATACACAAATACTTTCCATTGTGTTGCAATTGCCTACAGTATTCAGAACATAATATGCTGTATGGGTTTGTAGCATAGAAGCAATAGGCTAGACCATATTGCCTAGGTAGATGCTACCATCTAGGTTTGTGTAAATATGCTCTGTGATGTTCATACAACAATGCATTTCTCAGAACATATTCCCATTGTTAGGTGATGCATTGCTGGCTTTTTTTTTTTTTTTTTTTTTTTTTGAGATGGAATTTTGCTTTTGTTGCCCAGGCTGAGGTGAAATGGCACCTCCCAGGTTCAAGTCATTCCCCTGCCTCAGCCTCCCAAGTAGCTGGGATTACAGGCACCCGCCAGCACGCCTGGCTAATTTTTCGTATTTTTAGCAGGGACAGGGTTTCTCCATGTTGTCCAGGCTGGTCTCGAACTCCCAACCTTGGGGGCAATGTGCCTGCCTCAGCCTCCTAAAGTGCTGAGCCACTGTGCCCAGCCAATGCATAACTTTGTAGTCTTTACTGGGTGCTGGGCTCTAACTAAAAGCTTTACTACTTTTGGCTTCCTTTCCATATGGAAAAAATAGAGGCACAGAGAGGTCAAGCAATTCAACTGGAATCACAGCCCTAAAAAGCCATGGATCTGTTGTCATGAACCTTGACAACCTGGTTCTAGAAACTACAGTCTCGATCCTAAGAACTCCACTGCTTTGATTCTGTCCCCAAAGATATCACTTACCTCATCCCCTTCTATCTTCTCCACCACCACCTGACCTGCACCGGCACTGCCATCGCACAGCCGACAGAGCCCGAGTGGGTCTTCCCTTCCCAAGCTTGTCCCTCAGTCTGTCCTCTGCTCTGTATAGAATGGTGTTTTAAAAATGAAAATAGGGGCCAGGTGCAGTGGCTCACGCCTGTAATCCCAGCACTTTGGGAGGCTGAGGTGGGCAGATCACGAGGTCAGGAGTTTGAGACCAGCCTGACCAACATGGTGAAACCCCATCTCTACTAAAAATACAAAAATTAGCCGGGTGTGGTGGTGGGCACCTGTAATCCCAGCTACTCAGGAGGCTGAGGCAGGAGAATTGCTTGAACCCGGGAGGTGGAGGTTGCAGTGAGCCGAGATTGTGCCATTGCATTCCAGCCTAGGCGACAGAGCAAGACTCCCTCTCAAAAAAAAAAAAAAAAAGAAAATGGAACTAGGATCAGGTACCTTACCCTACCGCTCACCTCTGGAATAAAATCCAGATGAGCTCCTGAGCCCACAGGTCCCACATCCTACCCCTCCCCACCTTGCCTACCCCGGCTCCAGCCACCACACTTTGGTCACCTGGTCTCCTTTCACTTTCTCAAATTGGCACAGCTTTTCTCACCCCGGGGCCACACCTGCTGTTCCCCAGGCCTACAACGCTCTTCCTCCACTCTGCCTGGCTAGATTCTTTTATACTTTGGTCTCAGCTCTGCTGTCACCTCTTTGCAGAAACCTTCCCTGGTTGTCTCATCGGGAGCAGCCACCAAACACCTCAAGCCCATTTTCCTTTGTGCCCTTTATTAACAATCATTAAAACTGTATATTTGGTGAAAGCCCATCTCTACTAAAAACACGAAAAATTAGCCGGACGTGGTGGCGGGTGCCTGTAGTCCTAGCTACCTGGGAGGCTGAGGCAGGAGAATTGCTTGAACCCGGGAGGCAGAGGTTGCAATGAATCGAGATCACTGCAGCCTGGATGACAGAGTGAGACTCCATCTCAAAAAAAAAAAAAAAAAAATGTATTTATTTATTGTCCATTATTCATTAAATGTCTCTGCCTCACTACACTCTAAATGTCATGAGGTCAAAGACAATGTCTATTTTGTTCACCATGATAACCAATAATACCTTGCACAGCACCTGGGCTAGAGTAAGCACTCAGCAATGATCGAGTGGATGAATGGACCATAGAATAAAGCCCTAGTGCAGAGCCTGGCAAACTACCCTAGTTTCACTTAGGGCTCCATCTCCCTCCACCTCTCTTCATTTCCTCCTTCCCTGAGGTCTAGAAGAAAACCAGGAAGCCACTCAGTCAGGGTAGATGATGTCATATCAGGGGCTCCAGGGAGACTCCCTTTTTCCAGATCCCCTCTTGCATAGTTCCTGGATTTCTACCACGAGTCTCTTGGCCATGAGGGATTCCTGATAACATGCAAACACTTGTTATCTAGCTGGACCGCACGGATGCAGCCTTCATCTTTATGAAGACTGAGTCTGAAGACATGGGTTCCATGTCACCATTAACTAGCTGGGTGACTTTGTGTGAGTCACTTCTTGTTTCTCATCTGCAAAGCAAGTAGTTCAGATGGAGAATTGGTTTTTAAACATTTTCTTTTCCCTAGCAGCTCAACTCTTCAAATTATTCAAATGACCCGTAGAGAAACAGAGAAAAGCCAGGTGTTTCTGTTTGAAGTGGAGAAGCAAGGCTGGAGTGCGCCTCCCTCCAACTCCCCGCTTGAACTCCCTAACGTTGAAGGGATGGCCAACTCTAAGATCTCAGCAGGCTGATTGGCTGTGTGCTAAGAACAAAGCAGACGGCAGCAAGGTTTGTACACGCTGCTTGCAGTTACTTAGGCACATTAAAAGATCAGCAGGTGACTGGACTGAATCTGATAGTCAGAGCTGTTAAGCTCTGAAGTAGGTAACTTCCACAGCAACCAAAGTGCTGAGTGGGCAGCCCCTTTGTGCAAGGAGGAGATGCCAGCCACTTTCCAAGAGAAATGAGGGCCTCAGAGAGAGGAAGCCCAGAAGACTCACCCTTTTCACATCTAGAAAGAGGAAATTGCCACCCTACCTTTCCAGACCAGGGAGTCCAGGTCTTGAAGGGACGGCCTACAATCTTGCAGGTGCTTGGCTTCCAGGTTCAATTAGTTGCCATGCCCTGGAGGGAACTGAGGTCGCCATCTCCCTCCCCACCCCGCCCCCCAGGAAGCTCTTGGGCCTTGGCTCCACGCAGGTGTGCTCAAGAGGCTGCAGACTGGGCCACCTGGCAGCCCCAGGTGCTGCGTGTGTGCTGCCATGGAGACAGGCTCCTGGCTTGGTGGCAAGAAGGCAGTCTCCCAAAGCTTTGCTTATTCAGGGGAGAGAGTGTCTGGAGCCTCAAGCCCTCCAGAGTAGTCTGCGTGCCATCCTGGAGTCCACGGAAGCCCAGGTGGGTGCCCTGAAGGGCTCCCAGGACAAAGGGAGGGAGGAGGAGCCAGGGGAGGCAGAGGATGGGAAGAGGCTCTGGAAGACTGGGGACTGGGGCAGGGGAGCTTCTGCAAGGCTTCCAGGTGAGGAGAAAGGCCTTACCAGGGGCCTCCTTGCCAGGCCATGGATTGGGTGAGTAGACTCTGGAGGGTTGGCCCTCTAACTCAAGGGGAGGAGGGAAAGAGGGCCTGGCATTTGTCCCCATAGGAGGGACAGACCAGGGAATTCACAAAACCCATCTCTGTGCTAGTCAGGGATTTGAGGTAGCAGGGAAGGAAACATTTGTTTCGTTTCTCTAGCAAAATTCACAGACTGCAGCTTATCCCCAGTTCCCTGGATTCAGGGCAGCCAAGGGCACACACACCCACCATAAGGAGCACTTGTGTTCAGCTCCAAAGTCTGAAGCTGGGGGCACTGTTTCCTTCAATGCCGGCTCACTTGGGGGCTCTTAGTAGGGTTGGCCCAGGCTTTCCCCTTGATAGAGGGAAGGCTGCAGAGCATTTGAGTCAACTTGATGGCTTAGGAACTGGTGATCAAGAACAAAACGCTTTTGAACCTAAGTAAAACCTGAATGATTACAACTTTCAACACCCACAAAACACTTCGCTTCAGGCCAAGCACAGGGATGGGGTTTCATGGCTGTTCCTTTGTTCCCTTCCCGCTTCTGCCAGGACGACTCCCACGAGGCCTCCCCGTGTGTTGCTGAAGATGGCTGAGCAGCAGGGCCGGGAGCTCGAGGCTGAGTGCCCCGTCTGCTGGAACCCCTTCAACAACACGTTCCATACCCCCAAAATGCTGGATTGCTGCCACTCCTTCTGCGTGGAATGCCTGGCCCACCTCAGCCTGGTGACCCCGGCCCGGCGCCGCCTGCTGTGCCCGCTCTGTCGCCAGCCCACGGTGCTGGCCTCAGGGCAGCCCGTCACTGACTTGCCCACGGACACTGCCATGCTCACACTGCTCCGCCTGGAGCCCCACCATGTCATCCTGGAAGGCCGTCAGCTCTGCCTCAAGGACCAGCCCAAGAGCCGCTACTTCCTGCGCCAGCCTCGAGTCTACACACTGGACCTTGGCCCCCAGTCTGGGGGCCAGACTGGGCCACCCCCAGACACAGCCTCTGCCACCGTGCCTACGGCCATCCCCATCCCCAGCCACTACTCTGCGAGGGAGTGTTTCCGCAACCCTCAGTTCCGCATCTTTGCCTACCTGATGGCCGTCATCCTCAGCGTCACTCTGCTGCTCATCTTCTCCATCTTTTGGACCAAGCAGTTCCTTTGGGGTGTGGGGTGAGCGCTGTTCCCAGACAAGAAACCAAGCGTTTCTCGGTTACTGCTGGGCATGGTGACTGCGGAGCCTCATTTGGTATTGTCTTCCTTTGTAGTTTATTTTACAATCCAGGGGTTGGTTAGGCTATGTGTTTGGTTCTGGGAACAATTAAAAAAAAAACAAAACAAAACAAACAAAAAAAACTAACTAAAAGCTTGAAGGACTAGGAGATGTGGTACGACCTCGGCCTCCGGGTGTGAGTGTGGCGTCATGGAAGGGCAGAGAAGCAGTTCTGACCACAGAGCTACACACCGAGCTGTGCCAAAGGGTGGTACAATGGCGTCCAGGAACCTGACTGGCTCAAATAGCAAGTTTTGTTTCCCACTGGAGCTGCTTCAAACTCAGTGCATATTTTTTTTGAGTTGCTCTTCCTACTATGGATTGCTAAAAAAAAAAAAAAAAAATTGGGAAGTGAGCTTCAATTCTGTGGGTAAATGTGTTTGTTTCTTTTCAGATTTCTTTTTGGATGTCTTGCCACCAGTTGCAGTAAAACTGTGCTGCATTCATTAATTCATTCACTTATTCATTCTATGACCATTAGCTGGGCTGGTACTGAGTGCCAGAACTAAGGGAAGAGAAGAGTAGGATTATCCAGGGGTGGCAGACAGCCCTTACTAGCAGGAAGGGGTGTGCTCATTCAGCTGCTGCGTCTAGGAGACCACCTCTTGCCAGCACACAGTTCGTGGAGTGTTAGGTGTATACAAATCTAAAGGTGAAAGACACCGTATCAGTGGACTAGGGGAAGTCTGGGATTTGGAGGAATAGGTCTTTCTTCCTCCGGGCAGGTGTATACAAATCTAAAGGTGAAAGACGCCATATCAGTGGACTAGTGGAAGTCTGGGATTTGGAGGAATAGGTCTTTCTTCCTCCAGGCAGGTACAGTAAGCCCTGATTAGAATGGACAAAGGGTAGAGCTCTGACTCCCCTCCCCCAGGCTCCATAATTCTGACCTCAAGAAGATAGAAACCCTGGACAGAGGCAAAGCCTTAGCTCCCATCCCAGGCCATAGGAGGCCGCAGGGGGAACCTTGGCTTTCACTTTACGTGATAGAATCCAGGAACCCATCAGACAGAACTTGGGGGCTCATGCTGTTCCTTGATAAGTTGCAACCTTGCAGTGTCTAAAACCCTGATTTCTGTTTCCCCAGTTTTAACCTTGGCTGGTGGCTCAAGGCTCTGAAACAATTTTAAAGTGGTTAAGATACTACCACAGGCTGGGCGCAGTGGCTCAGGCCTGTAATGCCAGCATTTTGGGAGGCCAAGGTGGGCAGATCATTTGAGGTCAGGAGTTCGAGACCAGCCTGGCCAACGTGGTGAAACCCCGTTTCTACTAAAAATACAAAAAAATTACCTAGGCATGGTGGCACTTATCTGTAATCCCAGCTACTGGGGAGGCTGAGGCAGGAGAATTCCTTGAACCCAGGAGATGGAGGTTGCAGCACCACTGCACTAAAAAAAAAAAAAATCACACAAAAAAGATAACATCATAAATATATAAGGATAACTTTTGAAGTTTGGGATTTTTTTTTTGTATATGTGGAATAAGCTTTGAGAGGCCAGAACTTGAGTTGGTTGATTTGCTCCAAATAATGTCAGATTCTCTTCAGGAGGTTTAATGTACAAAATACTCCAAAATATTCAGGACGTATATTTCACATTTAGAAAAAAACAAATGGGTTTAAGCTCCAATATGAAGAAAAATTATCCATTACAAAGTTGGAAAACTGCCTACTCAGGGGATTAGAAACTGTCTCTCCATTTGTGCCATCAAAGATAATGACACTTAAGCTGGGACTCCACCACCATTTCCCACTGACTTCATTTCTTTACACAGCTTTGCTCCTTAAACTTGTGGCAGGTAAGTTAGGCCATCATCTCACCATGTCCTCTGAGCTAAGTGGACTGGTGAGGGCAGCTCCGGACAGGAGATGCTAAGGAAAGCCCAGGAAGGAACACTTGCCTCCGCACTAGGGCCTACCGATCTCACCAAGCTTAATTCCCATTGTTGGATGAAACTGAGGCTCCATGAGTTTAGCTACCTTGTTCAAGGTCACCCAGCTAGTAGGTAGTAGAGTCTTTTCAGTCAAAAAGGAACTTATATCCTTGGAGTGGTTCATACACCACCCAAATGAGACAAGATTTAAGTTTGACCATTATTTTTTTTGATAGGTGAGGATATACAGTCGTCCCTTGATATTCAGGGGAAAATGGTTCCAGAACCTCCTAAAGATAACTAAATCTGAGGATGCTTAAGTCCCTGACACAAAATGATGTAGTGTTTGCATATAACCTACACACACACCCTCCTGTATACTTTAATTCATCTGTTGATTACTTAACAATACCTAATACAATGTAAATGCTGTGTAGCTATGCTGTATTGTTTAGGGGATAAGAAGAAAAAAAAGTCTCTGTTCAGTAGTGTATTTCTGACCCATGGTTGGTTGAATCCCTGATGTGGAACCTGCTGATACAGATGGAGGGCAGGCTGAACGTTATAGTGTCTCCTATTTTCAGATTCAGTAGCTGTAGCCTTGGGGCAGCCCCATCCTCCTGGAATGTATCTGGAAATGCACAAGACCATCTTTTGCACTCAGCAGAGGGGGTGAATTGCGCTGCTGACATTTTAGGGCTCAGAGGTCTGGGATATTAACACCTGCTGCAATGCTTATGTGGCCACAGTTCCACAGGATGAAAGATCATCTATCCACAAATGCAAATATCTATCTTGTTGATAACAATAGGCTCCTCATCCATTTGGGAAGACATGGGGAAGTTGCTTTAACTCCATTGGGCATGAGCTCAGAGATGGTGACTTGTCAAAACGGCAGTATACAAGCTGGGCACAGTGGCCCATGCCTGTAGTCTCAGCTACTCAGGAGGCTGAGGCAGGATAATTGTTTGAACCGAGGAGTTTGAGATCCCATCTCTTAAAAAATAAAAAGGTGGGTGGGCATTATACAAAGTGGAGAGTCCTGAAAAAGCTGACTTGGCATAGGAAACAGGCCATGCTGGCTGCACTGGTCCTTTTGTCTGGCCAGTGTGGGGAACCAGTGAAACTTTTATAGCATCCCCAATGGTCAGATGACAGTTCAAATTCAGGCTCCATCACTTGCTGGCTGGGTAAACTTGAGCAAGTGTTTCTTGGAGCCTCAGTTTTGTCTGTAAAAGGGGAGTAATAAACTCAAAAGACTGTAGGTATTAAATATATGAATGTGCTTAGTACACAGTATAGGTAGGGACTAAGTGTCCTGTGAAATGGTGACTATTATGTTTATCTTGCCATTTTCACAAATACCATGCCTGGCTTTGTGCTTCTTAACCACTTTCTTTTTCTTTCTTTTTTTTTTTTTGAGACGGAGTTTCGCTCTTGTTACCCAGGCTGGAGTGCAATGGCTTGATCTCGGCTCACCGCAACCTCCGCCTCCTGGATTCAAGCAGTTCTCCTGCCTCAGCCTCCTGAGTAGCTGGGATTACAGGCACGCGCCACCATGCCCGGCTAATTTTTTGTATTTTTAGTAGAGACGGGGTTCCACCATGTTGACCAGGATGGTCTCGATCTCTTGACCTCGTGATCCACCCGCCGCGGCCTCCCAAAGTGCTGGGATTACAGGCTTGAGCCACCGCGCCCGGCCCCTTAACCACTTTCTTACAAAGATGTTTTAATTCCTGTGAAGAAATGGATATTCCACAAGGTATTTGTTCTGTCAAAGGCTTAGATGAAATGTTTCACTCAACTGCTACCTCTTAGAACAACCAAAAAACAAAGAAAAACAAGTCAAAGGGAACTAATAGTAACATTTAAACCCGAGAAACTAAAAATCTTTGTTAGCACATTATATCCAAATTGCATGCTAATACACCAGTGTTCTTCATTGTTTTACATATACTACAAAGAAGGTAAAAAAATTTCTCCTCATGGAAATCTATGAAATAGAATTCATTAATACTTAAACAATAAAGTTAACCAACATAGTGTAGATCTGAGAATTTGGAAGCTTGACAACTACATAGGAAATACAACTATTTGGTTATAATTGAAATCAGATTAAAAACAGTATGTTTAGGTCAGGCGCAGCGGCTCATGCCTGTAATCCCAGCACTTTGGGAGGCCAAGGCAGAAGGATCGCGTAAGGCCAGGAATTTGAGACCAGCCTGGACAACAAAGTGAAATACTGTCTCTACAAAAAATCAAAAAAGTTAGCCAGACATGATGGCAGCCTCCTGTGATCTCAGTTACACAGGAAGAGGGGATGAGGCAGGAGAATCACTTAAGCACAGGTCAAGCCTGTGGTGAGTTGTGTTCATATTACTGCTCTCCAGCCTGGGCGACGGAGCAAGACCCTGTCTCAAAACGAAACAAAACAAACCAGTTGTTTTGGCTATATATCACATTTATAGTCTACAGAATAGAGCTGACCAAAGCCATTCTCAACCTCTCTGCAATGGCAAATGAAAAGGGATTTTTTGAGATGGGAGTCTCGCTCTGTCACCCAGGCTGGAGTGCAGTGGCATGATCTTGATTCACTGCAACCTCTGCCTCCCAGGTTTAAGCAATTCTCCTGCCTCAGGCTCCCGAGTAGCTGGGGTTACAGGTACCCACCATATGCCTGGCTAACTTTTGTAGAGACAGGGTTTCACCGTGTTGGCCAGGCTGGTCTCAAACTCCTGACCTTAGGTGATCCACACACCTTGGCCTCTCAAAGTGCTGGGATTATAGGTGTGAGCCACCATACCCGGCCTGAAAAGGGTCTTAAACATTCAAGGAAAAGAGCAAAGAAGCTCTTTTTTGTATGTCCAAGATGGAGTTTCACTCTCGTTGCCCAAGCTGCAGTATAATGGTGCCGTCTCAGCTCACCACAAACTCCATCTCCCAGAGTTTAAGCAATTCTCCTGCTTCAGCCTCCCAAGTAGCTGGGATTACAGGCGCATGCCACCATGCCCTATTTTTTTTGTATTTCTAGTCGAATCGGGGTTTCACCATGTTAGCCAGGCTGGTGTCAAACTCCTGCCCTCAGGTGATCCGCCTGCCTCGGCCTCCCAGTGTTGGGATTGATTACAAGCATGAGCCACCAGGCCTGGCCGAGAAGCCCTTTAACTCTCCTCCATAGACAACTCTTTCTTCTTCCAAATTCCTGTATTTTTTGTGAATTTACTGTGTAATTTGAGAGTTCAGAGGTTGTACAGAGAGTTCAGTTGAGGTGAAAAGAGGTGCATGACAAATTAGAATCATAATTGAGTCCAGACCTGGCTGATAGTCTGGCCCACAATGTAAACAGCCCTCTATTTTAAAAAAATTGTTAACAAGGTGCTTATTAAGGAGACAGAAATCGAAGTAATCCATATTTGAGATCCATTACATCCCAAATCAGAAAAAGTAGACCTCTATAGACCAATGGTTAGGATTCAGAAAATGCTTTAACTATAGAAAATAATTATTTATAGGGTAGTTTTTGTAACAGGATTTTACTGTAGCAAATACGGAAGTACATCCTTTAAATAACCAACAGAAAGGAGCTTGTAGAGACATCATGTTTGCTTTCTAAACGTTTGTTTGAATCCTGACACATTGTTTTGCTTTAAGGTAACATGAAGGTTGCCAAACTTCAAAGTAAAGTAAAAGATATTTTCTGACGAAGCAAATGTTCCGTTCAGTTTCCTGATGCAGTCAGCATTCCAAGCAAACACAACAGGAAGAGGTCAGTCTTCTTCGCTGCATAGCCGTCGGGGTAGCTGCAGTCTACTGCTTCACTTCCCATTCTCCAAGGAAAAGAAAAGTGCTCGCTGTTACGCACTGTTTAACCAAGGAGTGGTGAGAGGTGCCTCTTTACCGAGGGCTTCTAGACTCTATCTAGTTCAGCCACCTTGTTCTCTGGGTCACATGCAGTCCTGAAGCACGTACCATGCTATGGAAAACCAAGTTTCAAGAATTAAAAATGCAGAGTCAGTCACAATCCTGAGTGCTGTGAGGAAGGCTATAGGGCATTCAAACAAAGTATTTTTTTTTTTTTTTTTAAGAGACAGGGTCTTACTCTGTCACGCAGGCTATAGTGCAATGGCGTGATCTCACCTCACTGCAACCTCTGTCTCCCAGCCTTAAGTGATCCTCCCACCTCAGTCTCCCGAGTAGCTGGGACCACAGGCACAAGCTACCGCGCCCGGCTAATTTTTAAATTTTTTTGTAGAGATGGCATTTTGCTATGTTGCCCAGGCTAGTCTTGAACTCCTGACCTCAAGTAGTCTGCCTGCCTTGGCCTCCCAAAGTACTAGGATTGCAGGCATGAGCCACCACGCCCAGCCAAACAAAAGATAAATGAAAACAATGTCTACACAGTTTGTGGCAGGGCGTAAAAAGGAGAAATAAATTTTCAACCATGAGAGGGGTTCACCATCACCTAGGGACTGGGCTGCCTGCCTGGAGTGGGGGCTGACATGGAAATCCAATTCTACAGAGGGTCTACACATGGTAATTGGCAGAAAACATGATATAACTAAACACTTCAATTCATCTCTTTTGAGGAAATAGCTCCTTAGAGAGAGCTTGAGGTTCAAGTCCTTTTTCCATTGTCTTGTCTATTCAGCCATCCACAGCTTGAAGGTCCTGTCATATGAGCAAGTGGCTATGAGCTGCCCATCAGAAGAAATATCTAGGCCCATCACTTTGCCTTCGTGGCCAGCCAGAGTCTTCAGCGGGGACCAGCCTGGGTGCGTCCAGATCTTGGCTGTGTTGTCATAGGCACCGGTGAGCAAGAAGTTCCCATGGATAGCTACAGAAGAAAGGGGGAATTGTTTGAGGACTTTATTCAAAAGAGCAGAAGACGACAAAATCACAAATGTCTGCAAAAACATACTATTTAAAAAAAACTTATTTCTACATTCAGAAAAAATTCAACACTGATGTTATCTTCCTACGAGGCCTCCGGGTAAAGCGGATAACCCCAGGTGCACTTAAGGGACCAAATAACAGTAAGGTCTTTTGGCACATTCCCTGACAGAGAATCTGTTCAGAATAATATTAAGGACTCAGTGCTCAGAACATCCATAGAAGAAAGAATGAAACGAAGCGCTCATGGCATGCATGCTTCCCCACAGATCTAAGCCATGGCAGGGGGAAGGAAATTAGAATTTGTTCCTTTAACAGTGGTCAAATTCTCTCCTGTTCTAGTTCTCAGTTAAGCTAAAGCTTGGCCTGTATTCCAGACAAACACATCCTGTTTGTCTGTGTCATTTAGATCTAAACCAGGAGGAAAGCTTACGCTCAAACTTGACACCAGTCACTAAGTTCTGATGAGCAGGGATGGTGTAGACGCAACGCCGCTGTCGAAGGTCCCACACTTTGCAGGTGTTGTCACCACTGCCGGTTGCGATGTGATAGCTGTGGATCGGATGCAGTATTGAAGTTAGAAGTAGAGGACTTTCTGACCAAGAACCCTTTTTCACCCCTCATTCACTGTGTTTATTTTACCCATTGGGGGAGAAATTTATTCCATAGATTTCTTTCAGGTGGCCTTCTAAGAACATGATGCAACGTCCTGTGCGTAGGTCCCAAACTCGACCAAATGCATCCAGTCCCCTGATAAAACAATTTATAAATGAACACTGTGAATCCAGTTCTCTGCAGAAGCAGGCATACACAAGAGGTGAGAGTACTGAGCTGCCCCTGGCTATATGGGAGAAGCCTTACCCAGTGCCAGCCAAAGAGCCATCTTGATGGAAGGCAATGTCATACACACCCATGCTGTGGCCCTCCTGATGCAGGATCTCCTCTTGAGCCTCCAAATCCCATAAGCGCCATGAACGGTCATAGCTAAAATGAAATCACACTAACAATCAACCAGCTGGTATTTATTCAGTTTCTACAACACGTAAGGTATTATAAGTCATCATAGCTTAAGTTATTAATGCTTCTGAAACTATTCATATAAACATATTAACGGGAAGCTCCTTTCTGACATAAACGATAACTCAACAACTAAGCTTATCTGTCTTAGGTGCTGAGAACCGTGGAGTAGCTGTAAACTTCTAATGCCTATTTTTTTTTGAGACAGTCTCACTCTGTTGCCCAGGCTGGAGTGCAGTGGTGCAGTCTCGGCTCACTGCAACCTCCACTTCCCAGGTTCAAGCCATTCTCCTGCCTCAGCCTCCTGAGTAGCTGGGACTATATGCGTGCACCATCATGCCTGGCTAATTTTTGTGTTTTTTGTAGAAATGGACTTTCATCATGTTGGCCAGGGTGGTCTCGAACTCCTGAGCTCAGGTGATCTGTCCACCTTGGCCTTCCAAAGTGCTGGGATTAAAGGTATGAGCCACCACGCACAACCTAGTGGCTATTTTAATAACAGGATTCCCCAAGAACGGCCCAGAAAAGACTCTGTTGCCTTCTTTCTTCCTCCACTATTTTTTTTTTGAGGCGGAGTTTCGCTCGTTACCCAGGCTGGAGAGCAATGGCGCGACCTCGGCTCACTGCAACCTCCGCCTCCTGGATTCAAGCAATTCTCCTGCCTCAGCCTCCTGAGTAGCTGGGATTACAGGCATGCGCCGCCATGGCCAGCTAATTTTTTGTATTTTTAGTAGAGACGGGGTTTCACCATGTTGACCAGGATGGTCTCGATCTCTTGACCTCGTGATCCACCCGCCTCGGCCTCCCAAAGTGCTGGGATTACAGGCTTGAGCCACCGCGCCCGACCTCCACTATTAAGTTCTTTCATTCATCAAGCATTTATACATTTACTAGGCCCTAAATTGGATGCTGGGGATACACAAATCGCTCATAACCCACACATGTATGGTCAGATGATTTTCAATAAGGGTATTAAAACAACTCCAACAGACAAAGGAAAGTCTCTTCAATACACAGTGGTAGAATTGACTATGCACATGGAGATAAAGACAAAAGAGACAAACTCAATTAAAAAAACCAGGCAAAGCATATGCCAAAGTACTCAACAGCAATAGTGATCAGGGTCATAAGAATGAAAACCATGGGATATCACTACACACCTGCTAGATTGGGCAAAATGGTAAGACTGACAACACCAAATGTTAACAGGGATGTGAAATAACCAGAATTCTGGGAATGTAAAATGGTGTAACTGGTTTGGAAAACTGGTGGGGAGTTTAGAAAAAGTTAAATATACACCTAACACCTCTACCTTGTGACCCAGCAATTGTTCTCATGTCCGCAAAAAACCTGGTACAAGAATATTTATAGCAGCTGCATTCTGACTGGCCCAAACCTGGAAACAGCCCAAGTGTCCATCGACAGGAGAATGGATAAACTATGGTACCTTCACACAAATAATAACCCCCAGCAATAAAAGGGAATTACTGATACATGCAACACGAATGCCTCTTAAAAATGTTATTCTGAGTAAAAGCCTGCCAAGATGAATTCAGGCAGGATGAATAGACATCATTAATTTATGGTGATAGAAATCAGATCAGCGGTTGCTTTGGAAGTGGGAGTTGGCTGGAAAAGGGCATGAGGGACCTTTCTGGGGCAATGGAACCGTTCACTACATTGACAGGGGTGTGGGTCACAGGAACGGTATGCATTTGTAAAGACTGATAACGCTGTACACTTAAAATAAATCCATTCCACTGTACATAAATTATAGCTTAATGGAAAAGTTTCCTAACAGATTCTAGCCTCCTTGAATTTACAGAACCAGGAAGGGAGACTTGTATACCTGCAGCATTGGTCAAGAGTGAAAAACCTTGTTTTCTGGCAATTTGTAACTCTGAACTTTCGGATTAATTGTAATTTAAAGGCAAATACAGCCAGGCGTGGTGGCTCACACCTGTAATCCCAGCACTTTGGGAGGCTGAGGTGGGCAGATCACCTGAGGTCAGGAGTTCGAGACCAGCCTAGGCAACATGGTGAAACCCCATCTCTACTAAAAATAAAAAATTAGCCGGATGTGGTGTCACATCCCTGTAGTTCCAGCTACTTGGGAGGCTGAGGCAGAAGAATCACTTGACCCTGGGAAGAGGAGGTTACAGTGAGCTGACATCATGCTATTGCACTCCATCCTGGGTGACAGAGTGAGACTCTGTCTTAAAAAAAAAAAAAAAGGCAAATATACTTATCTCTCACTATATTAAACATTCTCTGATTCTGGTTCCCTGCAGCCCAAGAAAATTCTACTTGAAAATCTCTGCTCTAAACATTTACCTGGCAGATAGCCATAAAGGGTTAACAAGATGCCACAGGCCTGTACGGATAAAAGAACAGGATGGCTCACCAGGTGGTACCCAGGAAACGTCCTGATGGATGCCACATTACCCTGGCCACACGCACTGTATGACCTTCGATATCTGCCACTGGTTCATCACTGAAAAGAAATCAAACATATAAACAATTTTACAGACATAAAATATTCATGGAATGATTAGCTTCTGTGCAGATATACCCATTTTGTACAACATGAGAGGCGAAATTGTAACTATACTTGTAAAATACTTTGACCCAATAAGCAAAATAGTCACTCTGCACCCAAAGGAGTACCTGGATTCTAGAAAGAAAACATGCTTTGGAAGAGATACAAGGACATAGAAATCACATAGTTTTGGTACAAATGGATTACATATAAAACTTTTTCAAATTTAGGCCTGTTCCAAGATCCAAATGGAAAAAGGAACTCCTAAATAGAGAGGAGGCTTAGTCTCCTTTTGGTGGCCATTAAATTCTGCTACCTAGCAACCACAAAAAGATCTGAAACATCAACAAAAGGAAATGAACATGAACTCTAAGGAGGGCAATTAAAAAGGGAACTCTGTCAATGTGCATACACAGAACAAGTCAAGGCCCTAGGGGAATAATATTGCTAAGTATTACACCAAAGCCAATTAAAACTCGACGTGCTCATAAGTGAGACCCTGTCTGGCAAAGAGTGAAGACAATACTTAGTTCTTATAAAAATCCTAGAGTAAAAACCTTCATATGTTTTCCCAAAGAAAGAAAACTAAGCAATTAAATTCAGATGTCTTTTGGTCAACAGGGTGCTTCCAAAGTTTTTTTGGGAAAAAATCATATAAACACATTTTAAAAACCTGTTGTAGTTGGAAAATATACTCTAGGTCAGGGGTCTCCAAACTTTTTACACAGGGGACCAGTTCACTGTCCCTCAGACCGTTGGAGGGCCGCCACATACTGTGCTCCTCTCACTGACCACCAATGAAAGAGGTACCCCTTCCTGAAATGCGGCAGGGGGCCGGATAAATGGCCTCAGGGGGCCGCATGCGGCCCATGGGCCGTAGTTTGGGGACGCCTGCTCTAGGTAAAGGATGATGCTATTGTGAGGAGACATCATTTCCTTGGCACCACTGCTACACAGAACCCCACTTTCCTCTCCCCTATGGCTGTTTGCTAAGAACCAATGAACTGCCAACAATATCATCTTTAGTTCATTGTTCATCTATCATGTAGGAAGTGGCTTGGGTCTTTCCGGAGTAAATGGAGCTAGGAAATAGTGGTCACTAGGCTATAGGGCAAAAATTAAGATCCAAAGTTAATAGGTAAGAAAAAACTGACATAACTCCTCTAGTAAGAAAAGACCCTAAGAATGAAATCTTCCACTTATTTCATTTACACACTAAGTTACCTTGACTCTTAGACCATCTTGGGGGTTAAATGCCAGATGTTTTTTCTTTCAAGACGGAGTCTTGCTCTGTCGCCCAGGCTGGAGTGCAGTGATACAATCTTGGCTCACTGCAACCTCCGCCTCTTGGGTTTAAGCAATTCTCCTGCCTCAGCCTTACAGGTGTGCCCACCCTGCCTGGCCTAAATGCCAGATTTTTAACCTGAGGTCCTGAGGGCCAACCAATTAAATATCTACTTTAGTGAAGGCAGTATGTACCACAGAACAGTGATATTCACCTGTCGAGACTCCAAAGCTTCACAGAGCCATCAGCTGCACAGGAGGCCAGGTTGACATCTTTTTGGTCCAAGGAAACAGTAGATTTGGGATGGAATACAATTGCTCCTACATTTGTGTTATGTCCTAAAGGAGTGTTAAGAGATGAAAGTTACAAGGTTCCTGCCTCTTTATAACCTATGTACAAATACAGACTACAATGAACATCACAGCTAAGTATATACTAGGGAACATGTGGACATACAGAGTATTAAAGTGACTATTCAACTACTAAAACATGAACTATTTTAAGTTCAGCTAATAAAGTATTTTTTTAAAAAAGAAAAACCCATTGTGTTTTTTGGTTGAGAGATGATAAAATGCCAGAGTGTGACTGGACACAAGAGAAAAGTGAATGTGTATAAAGTTGTGATAGTCCAGTCTTGCGGCCAGGGAAAACCAAGCCAAATTAAATCAAGAATTAATGCTGTGTGTACAGGGTCTAAGAGTCAAGCAGAGTTTATGGCTTAATTGAGTTCACACTGGGAAAAAGACTGAGATTTAGATAAGACTCGAACTTACCTCGAAGAGTGTGAAGGAGGTTGCAGTCAGGAACAGACCAGAGCTTGCAAAGCCCACTCCTATCAAATACAAAGGAAAGCATCTCAGCCAGGGTTGGTCTGGGAAGGAAAAGGTACCTTGGTAACATTACTAAAGGACAATCTCTTCTCACCCACAATAAACTTTACAATGGCTGACCAAAAAATAAAAGCCTTATAGTTGGAAGGTTATAGAACAAAAAGCCACCTCCAGCCCGCATGCAACCAGAGGCTTTTACTGGACTATAATTAACCCTGCATAGGTTGTCACTCTCGTTAACTTTTGGATACATTTTTGAGGGAAGGTGGGTAAATTAAACGATCTAATAATATTAATAGTGATACCATCCTTAAATACAAATAGTATTTTGCTAATTACAAAGTACTTAAATTTTTTTTTTTGAGAAAGGGTGTCACTCTGTCACCTAGGCTGGGGTGCAGTGGTGTGATCACAGCTCACTGCAGCCTCAACCTCCCAGGCTCAAGTAATTCTATCACCCCAGCCTCCTGAGTGGCTAATATTTTTAAAATTAAATAAATTTAAAAAAATTTTTTGTAGAGACAGGGTCTCACTATGTTGCCCAGGCTGGTCTCAAACTCCTGGGCTCAAGTGATCCTCCGCTTTGGCCTTCCAAAGTGCTGGGACTACAAGTGTGAGTCACTGTGTCTGGCTGGCCTTAAACTTTTTAGAGACTTCTTATTTTGGAAATTTTTCAACAAATTACTTTTATATCTATTAACTCAAATGATCTTTCTAACAGATCTGTGAAGCAGATACGGCAGGAAGGATCGTTTACCCTTTATAGTTAAGGTGATAAGGGTGGTGAGTGGACTGGTTTGTGCAGTCCCTTGGTTTTCTCCTGACCCACTCTCAAGGTCTGCCTAGTTGAGTAGCTCCTGTGCATTCAATGCTCAAAGTTTGCATTCAAAGTTTCTTTTCTCATTAGATAGCTATATCCCACAAAAAAAAACAAACTCAAACACAACAACAAGTCACCATATCCTAAGAGTTTTCTGCATATGTGGTGATAATAAAAAATTAAAACAAAGATAAACCAATAATTAATGTTTAATGAGTACTTACTACATGCCAGGCACTGTCAAGGCAAAATGCTTTACAAACACTACCTCGTCCCACTTTACAGATAAGGACACTGAAGCTTACAGGGATTAAATATCTTAGTGAGGTCAAATAACTGAAAAAGAAAACCTAGACTGAGTTATGGATACTAGGTGGTCCATAAACTCACTACTTGACATGCTCCAAAACACTAGTGTCAAGAATGTGACAGAGTGCTCTGTGTAATGGATCTCTGGGGTCACTGGTGAATAGTGAGAATAGCTAAACGAAGGCTATATTGTATTATGCAACAGGTGGAGCGCTGGCATCTGTAGTTTGGTGTGATCATGAGAAGGAAAGAAAGAGAACGCAGAAATAGATGTCTAAGACAAACACTGATTTTTTTCCTGAGCCTGTTCCCCATTTAGGAAAAAAATGTCACTGCAAAATGAAACTCACCAACAAGCTGTGGCCAGCATCTTGGAATTGGGACTAAAGTGACAGTAGGAGATAGGGCGATCATCCCCAATCTGACTGCAAAAATTATTCAAAGACTTAAAAAGAAAGAAAGAAAAAAAAAAAAAACACATATGGTGATCATTAATAGGTTAATCTATGAGTTCCTTAGCTTTTCCACCATAAATAGAACAACAAAGCAACTTTTTGGTTTTAACCCATCCCAAGATTCTTCTATGGTTTTGTGTTGTTGCTGTTAGAAGACACGTACATTGATAAATGAAGTTATCTGAAACTCCAGCACACTATTTTCTACAGTCCTTTTTTTTTCCTAGACAGAGTCTTGCTCTGTCGCCCAGGGTAGAGTATAGTGGCACGATCTTGGCTCACTGTAACCTGCACCTCCTGGGTTCAAGTGATCCTCCTGTCTCAGCCTCCCAAGTACCTGGGATTATAAGTACATGCCACAGCTGGCAAATTTTTGTACTTTTAGTAGAGACAGGGTTTCACCATGTTCACCAGGCTGTTCTCAAACTCCTGAGCTCAAGTCATCTGCCCGCCTCTGACTCCCAAAGTGCTGGGATTACAGGCATAAGCCACTGTGTCCAGCTGTTTTCTACAGTCACAACTTCTGAGTCAGTTAAATATAAACAGAAAACGCCAGAGAAATCTAAAACTTTGACATATTAACGGGGAGAATTAAGGAACAGAACCAATGGCCTCTGCTGAGTACAAAGCGCAGTAAGCTCCTGCCATGTTAACTGATGACTCCTTCCATGTCGCAACAGCTCAACTCAAGCAGGGAGGAATCACTCTGGCCGCCTCTACCTTCCCAGAGGTGGGCCAAAGTAGAAAAGTCAAACATTAAGAACCTTTAAGACGTAGGACAATCGCTGGGAGCATCTTACCCGGAGAGACTTGTGCAACTCCTGCATCTGGGAGGTCCTTGTTGTCTCAGGAATCTCCTTATGGAGTCGGGCCTCTTCCAAGCGTTTCATTGCCCTGTGACACAGAAAAATCAACACCAGGAGCAACAGGGTCGTAAACAAGGGCCCACATGTATCTCTACCCCTCAATTTCACTTAACAACCACAGTCACCATCAAGCACTCAGTTCCTGAGAGGAAACACACACCAAAAATACGCTTCCTTCTTCTACTGGAGGCTCTCCTTACCTGGGCAGTGAATAATTGGCAATCCATAGTCTCGCCACCTTCAAGCTGTTTGGTCCTTCATGATACCAGGTTTGCTGATACTGAAAGCAAATTAAGAGCAGAAAGGTCAAGTCTGAAGCATTCTACTCCTTTCATAACTGTCATTTCTCTATTTTAACTGCCCAGAAAGGAGGTGAATTTGTTAAGTAATAGGATGAACTCAGGCATATAGCTTTCTACTATATATTTTTCTATGATATGTAATTAGATGGTTATACCAGGAATACTACAAATCTTTCCTGACTGGACAACTCCCTTAGCTCCATTCATACTTACAAAGGAACCAAAACTACTCAGCAAATATTCTTGAATGGTACAGCGTTCAAAGACATTTTCCCCCATCATCTTAGCAAACCAAACCACTGAAAGAAGAAAATAAGAAACCTATCCCCTCATTTTCTTTACGTTTACACTGTGAAGTTAAAGACATGTTCTACCTCTTCTTTGGACTTCTTAGATTTCTCATCATCCTTTTTGGTCTTTTTTAAGGCATCAGTACCAACGACTGAGAGGATATTTCTTAACCTGTTAAAGAAAAAGAAAGATCAGAATTTAAACATGGTTGAGATAAGACTGTAAAAACGCACATCTAAGACGGGAACAAGCCTCTTCTATTCTCTCACCATTCAAATCACCTAGGAATCTTTTTTTTTTCTTCTTAAGAGATGGGGTCTTGTTGCCCAAGCTAGAGTGCAGTGGCACGATCATGGCTCACTGCAGCCTTGACCTCCTGGGCTTAAGTGATTCTCCTGTCCCAGCCTCCCGAGTGGCTGAGAGTACAGGTACACTGCTATACCTGACTAATTTTTAAATTTTTCTATAGAGACAAGGTCTTGCTATGTTATCCAGGCAAGTCTTGAACTTCTGGGCTCAAGCGATCCTCCTGCCTCAGCCTCCCAAGTGTTGGGATTATGTGCACAAGCCACTATGCCAGGCCCTCCAGAAACCTTCTTTAAGAGTCAAGTGGGGACACCTGAACTCCCAGTGAGATTTCTTTCAGTGGTCTCTATTTGGAAATTCCCAAAATCTAACTATAAGCAATTACTCTAGTCAGTTTAGAGTCAACCAGCCCCTACACTGCTACCACTTGGTCTGTGAAGACTGCCAACTTTCACTCTGTGCCACAAATGTACTGGATATTGACTCAGGTGCTAACTATACAATGATGACTAAGAATCAGTTCTGGATTTCAAGTAGCTTAGTCCTAGAGAAAAGACAGAGAGTACTGGCAAACTACAGTGCATTATATTAACTATCAGGACAGCAGTAAGCACAGTGCGCTAGAGGGGACTATAGAAGGGGCATCTGGCCGGGCGCGGTGGCTCAAGCCTGTAATCCCAGCACTTTGGGAGGCCGAGGCGGGTGGATCACGAGGTCAAGAGATAGAGACCATCCTGGTCAACATGGTGAAACCCCGTCTCTACTAAAAATACAAAACATTAGCTGGGCATGGTGGCACGTGCCTGTAATCCCAGCTACTCAGGAGGCTGAGGCAGGAGAATTGCTTGAACCCAGGAGGCGGAGGTTGCAGTGAGCCGAGATCGTGCCATTGCACTCCAGCCTGGGTAACAAGAGCGAAACTCCGTCACAAAAAAAAAAAAAAAAAAAAGAAGGGGCATCTAACTAGGCTTAGAGGATCAGGGAAGGCTTCATTAAAAAAAGATAATATCTAAATTAAGTCCTCAATTAATCAGGTCAAGAACGAGAAAAAGTCAGATGATTATACCAGGAATGCTATGATTCTTTAATCAAGTAAGGTCTGGAGGTAAGTAAAACATGTTGGGCTTGCAGTCACAAATAATTCAGTTTGGCTGGAGTGTGGAACATAGAAGAGGGCAGGTGAAGAATAGGGCTGCAAATGTGAGGAGGAGCCAGGTCACAAAGAATTGCTAATGCCCCTGTAATCCTGGCACTTTGGGAGGCAGAGGCAGGTGGATCATGAGGTCAAGAGATCGACCATCCTGGGCAACATGGTGAAACTCCACCTCTACTGAAAATACGAAAACTAGCTGGGTGTGGTGGCACACACCTTAGTCCCAGTTACTCGGGAGGCTGAGGCAGGAAAATTGCTTGAATTTGGGAGATGAAGGTTGCAGTGAGCCGAGATTGCACTACTGCACTCCAGCCTGGTGACAGAGCAAGACTCCATCTCAAAAAAAAAAAATTGCTAATGCCATGCTCAGGAGCATTTACTGGTGAGAAAGATCCCTGAAAACGTACAGAGAATGAATTAAAAGGGAAGAATAAGGGCAGAAAAATCAGACAGTACTGTTGTAGCAACTCTGTACGTCACAATAGTGGACTGAAATTCAGACAGTAGCAGTAGTGACGCAAAGGATCCATTTAAGGAACATAATAATGAATAAGATAGACTTTGCTGGTGGAAAAAAACAGCCTCTTATTTACTCTCAATTATTAGACAATAAAAAACCATACCTTTTGAAAAGGCTAATAAAATAACATATTATGACAGAGAATTGAGGGGGTTAGGTGTGACAAAAGGCTTCTTTGAATAGGTGGCATTTATGCTGAAACAAAAGAATAAAGTTTGACAGGGATCTAGGTTAAAAAAAGAAGAAAGGCCAGGTGCGGTGGCTCATGCCTGTAATCCCAGCACTCTGGGAGGCCGAGGTGGTCAGATCACCTGTGGTCAGGAGTTCGAGACCAGCCTGGCCAATATAGCGAAACCCCATGCCTGTAGTCCCAGCTACTTGGGAGGCTGAGGCTGGAGAATGGTTTGTATCTGGGAGGCAGAAGTTGCAGTGAGTCGAGATCAGGCTACTCCAGGCATGGGTGAGACTCTGTCACAGAAAAAAAAAGGGGGGGGGAGGGGGGCTCTAAAAGGCAAGAGAGAGCAACAAAGAGAGACCAATTATGTGGAAAGACATAAAAAGAGCTAGCATATTCTGGAAGGACCAATGTGGCTATTCCAGTAAACTGGGGAAGGGTGGTACAGGTAAGGCTGAGACCTTACAGACCATGATAAGAGTTTTTACTACAAGGATGAGAAGACAATCTAGGAGTTTAAGCAAGCAATTAACACAACGTCTGGGGCTATCACAGATTTGAAAGCAGTAAAGATATTGCAAAGAGGATAGACTGGAGGTGTATCTTGCAAGTAGAATAGACTAGATTTTGCTGATGTATTAAAAAGGAGGCTAGGTAGATTTTTAACTAAGAACTGTATGAGAATAGGAGAGAGGTGGGGAAATATTTCAATTCACATGTCTCAAGTTTGAAGTACCTGTGGGATACCTGAGCTACAATGATAGATTTGGGAATCATCAGAACACAAACAGTGAATGATGCCAAGGAAATAGATCTGATCACCAAGGGCAAGGCAAGTAGAAGGCAGACTGTAAAGGGTAGGCAGAGAAAAAGAGATTTAGAAGGTAAGTGAGAAAAATTAGCTAGTGAGAGAAGAAGAAAATCAAGAGGATTTGGTCTTAGGAGAGTGAAAGAAAGGGAGTATTTCAAGGAGGGACTGGCTGGCAGTATACTAGGGCTAGTCTTAGTAAAGGTGGGTTGGTGATATTAACAAAGAGCAATTTTAATGTGGTAGGGGTCTGTCAGTTTGCAGCAGGTTGAAGAGTAAATAATGGTAAGGACCTCAAGAGAGTAATACAAAAAACCCTTCTAACAAGCTGGATGATGAAGGAGAGATGAGGCAGTAGACAGAGATATCAGATGGGCTCCTCATAATTGTGTATGACTAGACCACAACTAAATGACTTTGCAACCTTCAGATCCCAAGAGGGCATTATCTGAGGAAGGTATCCCGATTCAATAAAATCCAAAAAACATTTATCATTGTTTTATGTCACTGATATGAATATATTTGATGTCTAAACTTTCAAAGCTCAACAACAAATGTTTATCCAATTCAAAACTCACACTGGGGAGGGGAGGCAAGGAAGCATGTTAGCATGCTCTTCACAGTCTATAAAGAAAAACTGGCCAAGTGTGGTGACTTATACTTGTAATCCCAGCACTCTGGGAAGCCAAGTTGGGTGAATCATTTGAGGTTAGGAGTTTAAAATGAGCCTGGCCAACATGGTGATACCCTGTCTCTATTAAAAATACAAAAATCAGCCAGGCGAGGTGGTGGGTGCCTGTAATCCCAGCCACTCTGGAGGCTGAGGCAGGAGAATTGCTTGAACCTGGGATGTGGAGGCTGCAGTGAGCTGAGATCATGCCATTGCACTCCAGCCTGGGTGACAGAGCAAGACTCCGTCTCAAAAAAAAAAAAAAAGAAAAAAAGAAACATTAATAGTAGAGTAAAAATTGGCCCAAGACAGATTATGGGCTAACTCATATAAACACAGTAAGATATTGTTAACATGACTTGAGACATTCTATTAAAGTTTCAACTAAAAGATCAACTGAAATATGTACTAGAACCCTGTGATTATAATAAAGAAAAAAGTAAGTATTTAGGAAGGGTACCTTTCTCTTCTTTCAGCAGGGCCCTCTCCAAAGAGTGTGATAGGTTCCCCCAAGGCTCTAAGGCATGCCTTGACCTCCGAGTCATCTGTGGAGACATTGATCTGCCGGGCTCGCTTCCTTCTCTCAAACTCAGCCAATACTTCTGCCTGTCGCTCACTGATGTGCTCTTCAATCTCAAACACTTCTCCTATTAAAAAGAAAACAGGCAACATCAGCAGATCTTCTGATAGAGAAAGAAAGAATTTTTAGTAACCGCAGTCTGGGTATGGTAATTGTCTAATATATTACACATTTTATACTTTACTGTTTTTGAGTTTATTAAATTATGCCAAACACCTAAATCTAAATGACACAGCTTCAAAAGGGAGGAAAATGGTTCAAGCCACCTCTTGTTTCATTTATTAACTTTACACCTATATAAACACACACTTTGGCTGAGACCAGAAAGAGTACAGAACATTTTTTGCAAATGAGTTAACTAGGTTGTCTATCCAAAAGATGTAACAGAAACATTATTGTAACAGTGGCCAAAAATATTTATTCTCTAAAGCAGTCCCGGTATAGAAATACTTAATAAATAATTAACTAGTAAACTGGAAATAATTACACTGAAAATGAGAGTTTCACAACAATAAGGATTTCTGGATAATCTAGCAATAGTTTTGAAACCCACACCAAAATACAAGTGTGATTAAAAAATGAGAGGTACAGTAGTGATGTTCTGTTTAAAAACAACATAAAAAGTTAAAAAAGTTGGCCAGGTGTGGTGGCTCATGCCTGTAATCCCAGCAATTTGGAAAGCTAAGGCGGGCAGATCATGAGGTCCAGAGATAGAGATCCTGGCTAACACGGTGAAACCTCCTCTCTACTAAAAATACAAAAAGTTAGCTGGGCATGGTGGCACGTGCCTGTAGTCCCAGCTACCGGGGAGGCTGAGACAGGAGAATCGCTTGAACCCGGGAGATGGAGGTTGCAGTGAGCTGAGATTGTACCACTGCACTCCAGCCTGGGTGACGGAGCAAGACTCCACCTCAAAAAAAAAAAAAAAAAAAAAAAAGTGTAAAAAGTCACTAGGCTATACTGCATGTGTTTAGAAAAGAAAACGTGTAAGAGGATCACTGAGAAACTTGACTGATGCCCTACTGCACAGGAGTCTTCACTTTATGCACTTTGGTGTTGTCTGAATTTCTTATGACAAATACGCATCATTTTATTTAAAAAATATAATGGACCTCACATTACTGGCATGGAAAGATATCCTCAATGGTATATAAAATGAAAAAGGCAGGTTATTCAACAATTTATAGATATCATGTCTTCATTTAGAGAAAAAATTACCTATTTTTATATCTGTATTAAAATTCTCAGAAAGATATACAACCAATTAATCAAAAAATACAAGATTTTCTACTTCATACCCTCATACATTGTTTGACCTATTAAAAGAAAAATAACGATTACTTTTTTTGAGATAGGGTCTTGCTGTGTTGTCCAGGCTGGAGTGCAGTGGCACAATCATGACTCACTGTATAAGCAACCTCCCACCTTAGAACCCCAATTAGCTGGGAATACATGCAACTGTCATGCCTGGCTAATTTTCTACTTTTTGTAGAGATGGGGTATCACTATTTGCCCATGCTGGTCTCGAATTCCTGGGCTCAAGCCATCCTCCCACCTCTCAGCCTCCCAAAGTGCTGGGATTACAGGTGAGCCACTGGGCTTGGCCACTATTACTTTAATAACAAAAAAAGAGATCTCAGCCAGGTGTGACTGCTCGCATCTGTAATCCCAGCACTTTGGGAGGCCGAGGTGGGCAGATCATGAGGTCAGGAGTTGAAGACCAGCCTGGGCAACATGATGAAACCCCATCTCTACTAAAAATACAAAAATTAGCTGGGTATGGTCATGCACGCCTGTAATCCCAGCTACTCAGGAGGCTGAGGCAGGAGAACTGCTTGAACCTGGGAGGTGGAGGTTGCAGTGAGCCGAGATCACGCCACTGTACTCCAGCCTAGGTGACAGGGCGAGACTCTATCTCAAAACAAAACAAAACAAACAAACAAACAAAAACAAAAAAAAATTGAAATTTTTTGACATTATAAAACTGGTGATATTTAAGTTTAGGAAGGTATTCATTACATCAAGAGGTAAAGATGGAGAATTTGCATCTTACCAGAGGTTATATTAATATTTCCAGCTTCGATTCCTGCTTTAAGTCCTTCTTTCCCCAAAATCCCAGACTCTCCTTTGGCCAGACGTTCCCTCTCCTTCTCTTCCAAACTTCCATAATAGATGTGTGGCTTCTTCACAACCGGAGCAACTAAGTCATCAGGCGCTTTAGTTTTGGTTGCCTGCTAAATCAAAGATCTGAATCAAACTAAGACTTAACCTTAACAATTTACCGGACTTCCCCAGAGGATGAAGCTCACCCTGAGTTTCACAGTCCTACTTCCTCCGTAATTGAAAGGACAAACTGGACACTGCTTAAGATGTTCTTCATTGATTTGAGGAGATGAGGGTAGGGGGAGGGTATTTCAGTCCCTCACTTTGGTTGACAGGATTGATAAAACTAGTGAGGTTCTCTTGGGTATTTTTCTATCAAAGGTTTGCCCTGGAATCTGTTTACCTCATTCTGTTGGAAGTGTGCAATGTCGTGTTTTACAATGCTTCCAGGGTTACTGCTCATCACTGGGGAAATACCAAGAATAGATGAAATAACCAAAGCGGTGCTAAAGAAGAACAAGTTACAAGATTACTAGTGTATATATTTCAAACGTTTCTAGACGTGAGGCAGTAGGAGTTAGTAGGTCTCATTAAAATTCTGAGATCTGCCAAAGGCGTTTTAAACCTTGGCCAAGACACTTCCCTATTTCAGAGCACCGTTACTGGATCAGTCGGAAGAGATGTATGCCCTCCGGGGATGTAGTGGGAGAGGTGCAAATAAGCTATAGTCCACGAAAGCGCTTAAGGATCAGGAAAACGGTGCTCCGCTGTCTAGGACACGACTGAGTCCCACAGCCTTCCTCCTCAGCCCTCCACCGCCTTCTCCCGTTCCCTAACGGCCCCTTCCCGCAAGGACCCCCTTCCCGCTTCGCGCTTTCTGCCAGTTAGCTGAGATCCCGGGCTCTGTACCGTGGAGGATGCTCGCGAGGAAGCCATGCTGGGCTCTGGAGAAAAGCTCCAGCGAAACCCTAGCTCTCCGATTCAGACCGTCCACCGCGCGCCCAGCAGAGCGGATGGGCATCACCGACCGGAAGTGCGTCACCGACCGGACGTGTGCCGAGAGCCGTCGCCGCGCCCGGAGCGGCGCGGAGCATGATGGAAGTCGTAGTAGGAAGCGGTGTGATCATGTTGAGGGACATGCCTCCTAGAACCTCTGAGAAAGCTCGCGCAAGACGAGGTTCTGCTGAGAGAGACTCCAAGTAGTCTGGGAAGTGTAGTCCAGTTGGCTTACCAGTAGTTTCGTTGGGGGAGCGGAGGTTCCGGGAAGGGGCTGAACAGGCTTGAAAAGAGGTAGGTGCGTCGCGTCGCGCGGTTCGGGGCTGAACTCTGGAGCGAGTCGAGGGCTTTCGGGGTCCGCCGTGCCCCCCCGGGCCTACCGGAGCGTTTAAGTCTTCCTGGAGCCGAAGACCATGTTACCATGGAAACCCTCGCCAGGGATCCGAGGTACAGGCCTGGAGCTAGGGGACAAGGGCTGTTTTCCTCCACGGTCCGGAAGTCTTCTTCGGGGTCCCCTCTGAGCCTAATGGCTCCGCGGTGGATTTAGGCTGCGGCGAGAGTTTAGACTAGAAGAGCCCTCTAGTGCCGAAGTCAAATAAAGACCCGGCGGAGGAGCTTCGGCCTGATTTTGTTGATTTATCTTCAGCCGGTAGTTGCATCAGATTGAGAGTAAGATGATGGATAGGAAGGTGTCAGGTAGCTCTCTGTACGTCCCTGTGCCCTGCTGGATGCTGGGGCATTAGAGACAAACAAGGTAAGTTTTTTTTTTTCTTTTGAGACGGAGTCTCGCTGTCGCTCAGTCGCTCAGGCGGGGAGTGCAGTGGCGCGATCTCGACTCACTGCCCCCCACCACCCCGGGTCAAGCGATTCTCCTGCCTCAGCCTCCCGATTAGGTGGGATTACCACCACCTGCCACTGCGCCCGGCTAATTTTTGTATTTTTAGTAGAGACGGAGTTTCACCATCTTGGCCAGAGTGATCTTAAACTCCTGACCTCGTGATCCACCCGCCTCGGCTTCCCAAAGTGCTGGGATTACAGGAGCGAGCCACCGCACCCGGCCGGGATAAGGCTTTTATCCCTCCGTGGGCGGTGGAAGATTCTCAAAATATTGACGTTTCCCTAGCTGGCCAGATCCCCATCCAACCCCCTAGAAAAATTACAGTAATAATAGATGTTATTTATTGAATATTTCTTAAATGCAAAGTTATATTCCAAGAGCTTACTCTTCATTATGTTATTTACCTACAATAGCAGAGTAGGATACAGATGAGGAAACTAAGGTCTAGTGAGAGATGAAACTAATTGTTCAAGATCAGTAGTGTAGTGGGATTAATCCCTACAGCCACACTTTTAACTGTTACTCTATACTGCTTCCTAGTGGAGAGTTTTTCGCAGTTTGCAGAAAAGGTAAAATGTATAGCGGATTTTTTTTTTTTTTTTTTTTTTTTTTTGAGACAGACTCTGGCTCTGTCACCCAGGCTGGAGTGCAGTGGCATGATCTTGGCTCACTGCAACCTCCGCCTCCCGGGTTCAAGCGATTCTCCTGCCTCAGCCTCCTGAGTAGCTGGGATTACAGGCGCCCGCCACCACACCTGGCTAATTTTTGTATTTTTAGTAGAGACGGGGTTTCACCATGTTAGTCAGGCTGGTCTCAAACTCCTGACCTCCTGATCTGCCCTCCTCGGCCTTCCAAAGTGCTGAGATTACAGGTGTGAGCCACCGTGCCTGGCCCTTACTGTTTTTATAGATACACTCTAGGGGATTTTAGGGAATGCTGTGGAGAGTATACAAGTGATGCCATCAACAAATATTAAACTCAATTGGGGGAATTGTGTTTTCTCAAAAAACAAACAAAACACAAACAGCTTTTGTTAACATTTACTTTGGGATTTCAGGCTGTGGAATGCTCTCTTGAGCCTGTTTTCTTCTTTTTTTTTTTTTTTTTTTTTTGTGTTGGGGGTCTCATGGTGAGATCGTGGCTTATTGTAGCAACCTCAAACTCCTGGGCTCAAGTGGATCCTTCCACTTCAGCCTCCTGAGTAGCTAAGACTACAGGCACACACTACCAGCCCAGCTAATTTTTGTACTTTTTTGTAGAGACAGGGTCTTGCTATGTTTCCAAAGCTGGCCTTGAGCCTCCTTTGTGCACTCCTCTTTCTGCCTGCCCTTCAGAGTCAACTAAGACATCATTTTCTCCGGGAAGGCTTGCCTGACATCCTTGTCCACCCCACACTCAGCCCAGACTGGATTAGGTGCCCGGGTGATGTCAGTGCCTTACCCTCATCAGAGTTTTCATTATGCAATATCACAGCTTTCTCTTTGTCTTCTCCACAGATTATGACTGTACCTTTTAACTTTGTAGCTGGAACACAAGAAGTATTTGTTTAATGAATAACGGACACATTTAGGATCTGTTTAAACGCTGAGAATAATCCTGTGAATTGGTGAGTTGGCGTTTTCATTGAGATTTAGCAAATTGATTCTAGCATTCAGGAGTGATCACAAATCTCTGACAGTCCTCATGTAGATTAAATTCAGCGGTTTGTCTACTTTCCCCTCTATACTAAGTTAAGATGTGGCAGTTTATTCTTTCAGCTAGAATATTTCTTTGAATGTGACTGGAACATGAAATTAAAGTGATGGTTGCCTGGAATTTCTCTCTTACAGGCAGTTTTGCTATTTTAAATTCTTACAGAAAGAGTTTTTTGATTTTCAGAGTTGTGGATCTCCATCATGTATTAAAAATGTAGTAATAACATACCTAAAGACTTAAGAAGTCACTGGGTGCAGTGGCTCTCGGCTGTAATGCCAGCACTTTGGGAGGATGAGGTGGGATGAACACCTGAGCCCAAGAGTTTGAGACTAGCCTGGGCATCAGAGAGAAATCCCATTTCTACAAAAAACTACAAAAATTAGCTAAGTGTGATGGTGTACACCTGAGTTCGAGCTACTCAGGGGGCTGACGCAGTAAGATTGCTTGAATGCAGTAAGTTGAAGCTGCAGTGAGCTAAGGTTATGCCACTGCACACCAGCCTGGGCAAAGAGCAGACCCTATCTCTTTAAAAAAAAAAGGACTGGCCGGGCGTGGTGGCTCAAGCCTGTAATCCCAGCACTTTGGGAGGCCGAGGCGGATGGATCATAAGGTCAAGAGATCGAGACCAACCTGGTCAACATGGTGAAACCCCGTCTCTACTAAAAATACAAAAAATTAGCTGGGCATAGTGGCACGTGCCTATAATCCCAGCTACTCAGGAGGCTGAGGCAGGAGAATTGCCTGAACCCGGGAGGCGGAGGTTGCGGTAAGCCGAGATTGCGCCATTGCACTCCAGCCTGGGTAACAAAAGTGAAACTCCGTCTCAAAAAAAAAAAAAAAAGGACTTTAGGAGTCTATGTGTAAATTCAAATGAATTTTTAATACTTCACTTTAATATACATGCTTGCAAATTGATTTTCTGTTTATACCTGAAACTTTATCACCTTCAGTTTTTCCTCCTCTGCCATTTTTAACAGCTAATAGTTCACTGGGTTTGGCCCTTAGTGCTGACTTCAGTATGCTGAGACGAAAACCAACACGCCTAGAGCTAAAGCTCGATGACATTGATGAGTTTGAGAGCATTCGAAAGGACCTGGAGGTATGAATACAACTTTGTTTTTTTTTTTTTGAGACAAAGTCTTGCTCTGTCACACAGGCTGGAGAGCAGTGGCATGATCTTGGCTCACTGCAACCTCTGCTTCCTCTGTCTCAGCCTCCCGAGTAGCTGGGACTATAGGCGCGTGCCACCATGCCTGGCTAATTTTTGTATTCTTAGTAGAGACGGGGTTTTGCCATGTTGGCCAGGCTGGTCTCTAACTCCTGACCTCGAGTGATCCATCCGCCTCAGCCTCCCAAAGTGCTGGAATTACACACGTGAGCCACTGTGCCCAGCCACAGATTTTTTTTTTTTTTTTTTTAGAGATGAGTCTCGATTTCTGAAACGGAGTCTTGCTCATCGCCCAGGCTGGAGTGCAGTGGTGTGATCTCAGCTCACTGCAACCTCCGCTTCCTGTGTTCAAGCTATTCTCCTGCCTTAGCCCCCCGAGTAACTGGGATTACAGGCACCTGTCACCACACCTGGCTAATTTTTGTACTTGTAGTAGAGACGGGGTTTCATCATGTTGGCCAGGCTGGTTTCGAACTCCTGACCTCAGGTGATCCGCCTGCCTCAGCCTCCCAAAGTGCTAGGATTATACTCTGGTTTCTCTTCATAACCAATAAATCTTTTGCCTTTTACCAAAGTGCTAGTATTACAGATGTTAACTACCACGCCTAGCCGGATACAACTTTCAAAGCTTTAGGAATATTTAAGACAGTAACTCTTGGGTGGGTACGGTGGCTAACATCTGTAATGCCAGCACTTTCTGGCCAGGAGTTTGAGACCAGCCTAGGCACATAGTGAGACCTTGTCTCTATAAAATATTAAAACAATTTGTTTTAAAGCTGGACAGGGTGGCACATGCCTGTAGTCTTAGCTACTCAAGAGGCTGAGGCAGGAGGATTGCTGAGCCCACGAGTTTGAGGTTATAGTGTGCCATTATTGTACTGTGCTCCAGACTGAGCAACAGAATGAGACTCTGTGTCATACATAAATATGTACATAAATTAATACACATACATACACAATAACTTGAACTTCTGAACATACACATTAACTTCTGAACTTCAGACTCTTAAACCAACAGCTTATTCGAAATCTCTGTTGGGATGCTTTACAGGCATCTCAAACTTGATGTATGTTTCCTGTGGCTGCTGTGACAAGCTACTACAAACTTTCTGTTTTAAGACAACAGAAATTTATTCTTTCCCAGTTTTATAGGCCAGAAATTAGTATTGCCAGGCTGAAATCAAGGTGTTGGGGGGCCACATTCCCTATGGTGGATCTAGGGAAGAATCCATTCCTTGGCTCTTCTAGCTTTTGGTGGCTGCTGGCATTCCTTGACTTGTGACCGCATCATCACTCCAGTCTCTGCCTCCAGAGTCATACTGCCTTCTCTTCTGTCTGTGAAAACTTCCTCTGCCTCCTTCTTATAAGGATATATGTGATTGTGTTTAGGGCCCACCTGGCTCACCCGGGATAATCTTACCCAGCCTCCCCACCCCCC